GGTGGTGCGCGTGGAGGTGCAGGAAGCTGTGCGTGGAGGTGCCGGAGGCTGCGCCTGGAGGTGAGGGGGCTGCACATGGAGGTGTGGGGGGCTGCTCCTGGAGGTCTGGGGGTGCTCGGCTCTCACTCCCACATTACACCGCAGTCCCGTCTGGACCTCTTCAAGGAAGATCAGTTCTTTATTGGGTTCTCTACGACACTGCGAGTGCCCTGCTCAGGCAAGAGAACGTCTGGCTCTTCTCTTGCATCTTCGCCGTGTATTAATCAGACAGAGATGGCAGGGCTGTGTCTCCATGGCTGGAGGCTCTCATAGTCGGGGCACCCACAGCGATTCCCCTCCTGGCTCCTGGTTAGAGCACGCTGCCACCCATAGGTGGGCATCTCCACTCGTGGGGCATCTGCTTAGGTTAAATTCCTCTGGATTCTGGAGAGATTGGGGGTTCTGTTTTGATCAGCTGATTCTTCTGGGGCAAGCAGGTGCTCACGAGCTCTCCAGCTTCTAAAAGGTGGAGAAGCACGGGCTTCCGGGGGCCTGGCCTGGACCCCTTTCCCCACTCCTGTCCCTGTGCCCCTTGTCTGAGTGTGTTCGGTTTGACATGAAAAGCACCACAGTGAAAGAACAGCAGTGCGCCTCCTCACCAGCCAGATGTGGGCAGGTGGGTTTCTTCCAAGGCCTGTTTGTGGCCGTGGGTGGCCGTCTCCCCCCTGCTCTGCCGCAGTCTTCCCTCCCCTGGTGGCCCTGCGAGAGCTGATCATATAAGGACACCATGGATTAGGGCCCACTCTGATTACCTCACTTTTAACTTAATCAGCTCCCTAAAGGCCCTATCTCCAAAGTCACATTCTAAGATATGGGGGGCGAGGGCTTCAACATATGAATTTTCGGAGACCACAGTTCAGCCCAGGAACCCACTCTTGCCACCCAGTACTGGGGGTGCTGGGGAAGGGCAAAGAGGAGGCTGGGGGTGCGGAGGACACTGGCTTACTCAGAGCGCAGATGCTGGGCCTTCTGTGCACCGGCCTCAGGGAGCTAAGGGGCTTTCCAGAACCCTGGGCCCGTGGGATAGCTGCCTCCGACACACAGGTGCACTCCACATCATGGAATTGCTGGTCATTTGGGCCTGAGCCTGGGGCATGTGGAGGGAGGGTGGCCCTCAGTGCACCAGGCACCTTGCTCAAAGCTGCACCCCACCTCACTGGTCTTCCCAATCCTCAGGGCCCAGTGGAAGGTCCAGGCCTCCTGGGGCCCAGAACCCAGCAAATCCTTTGTCTTTTTGCCCCAGGCTGGGGGCTGGTTTTTGGTAGAGCACCGCCAGGTCTCACTGACAGGACACAGGACCTGGGACCACCCAGGTTGGCCCTGGGCCCACGGGAACTCCCCTTGTGGCATGTGCCTGCGCTCCCCTCTGCAAAGACGCCACCTCCTTCCAGAAGAGACTCCGGACCCACTACTCAGGGCATTGACTTGAAGTTGACCCCTCTGTGAAGCTTCAAAGCTTCTGCAGCAAAGGGCCCCCCGGGGAGAGGGCTTTCGTGGAGGGGGTGCTTCCTCACCTGCCCACTCTCCCTCAGCACCAGGGCTATCCCCATGTGCCCTGTTTTCATGGCACATCGGGACCATTTTCCCTCATTCTGAAAAAGGAAACACAAACTCTACACAGCCAGTTCACCACTAAGGAGACTGTGTGGCTGTGACCAGCGGGTGCAGTGACTCGTTACAGCCAAAGGAGAGTGGCGACCCCTAGCTCCTCCCAGCCTGCAGAGCTGCCCCACACACAGGCAGACACTCCCACCACCTTCCCTGGCCCAGGCTTCAATGCAGGAGCCTCCTCCCTCCTCCCCCCGACAAGCTTGTTGGTGCGGTGCCCCATCCTACCCTGATGGAAATGGACGGTCGGGTTAAAGGGACACACGTGTAGACCCTGCCTCTGTGCATCCAGCCTCCTCTGAGTGCCCCTGCATGCCAGGCAGTGCACAGAGGTGGGGAACACTCCGCTGTGGCCCAGAGCACCGCCTCCCATCGAGGAAAGGACAGACGGTGGCTCCCGCAGGGCCGTGGGGACAAGGGCAGAGGCCCCTGGCACACAGGAAGGAGGGAAGGAAGAGAGCACTCAGGACCTCCCTCCTGATGGCAAACCATCTGGGTTAAATGAAAGGTCCTGCCTGTCCCTGCTCGGGCATGTGTGGAGTTTGCAGTGTAAGAGGCTCTCTGGACCCTCACCCACCACCATGGCCGGGTTAGAGACCGGCTACCTGCAAAACACACTTTTGCAGCCCCCACAAAGGTGGGCAGGTAGCCGGCCCTCATTGAATGCGGGGTTAGTTTAACTCAGCCTCTGTGTGAGTGGATGATTCAGGTTGCCAGAGACAGAACCCTTAGCTTGGCATGGGAGGTGGCTCCCCTGTCGGCCCTGAGTTCATCTGAGATTGGCTTGGAAGGTGTAGGCACCATTTAGCCCAGTTCTTAAAGCTCTGAAGAGAGCAGCAGGAATGGGCTGAACGGAGACAACTTTGCATCAAAGGTCCCTTTCAGGGCCAGACCTGCCCCTCACACCCTGTGCTGCTCTGCCCATGCCCCGCCCATGAGGGGTGAGAGTCAGGCGACCTCGTGCCAAGTGTAGAAAGGGGCAGACGAGGTCCAGGCTATGACGTCACCACGCAGGGCAGAGATGGCACGTCCAGATCTACTAAAGGGTTAAAGGAGAAAAGGTGACTTGACTTCTTCTGAGATATTTTGGAGTACAAAGTGTGGAAAAGTGGCAAAGGACACAGTCCCAGCCTCCCTTAAAAGCCATTAAAGCCTAGAAAAATTGTCTGAAACAAACCTCAGCCATAACACAGACCAACACACGAATCTCCAGGAGAAAAGACAAGGAAAAAGGCAGATGGGGTCCACGCACCAGGCCTTTAACATGACCCATTGAAGGGTCTCACGCCACCGCCTCCTGGACGGGCCGGAAGCCTCCACGAGGTTTTGCCGAGACCTCTGGGTCTCTGTGGCCTCATGCAGTGCCCAGCATACAGTAAGGGCTCAATAAAGTTTGGCTACAAAAGAGACAAAGCTGGCGGCGTCTGAGTGAACAGCTCAATTCTGCCGGAACAGATGCCCACATGGAAGAGAACAGGAGCCACATCTCATTCAGGATCGTTCGGGAACCTGCAGAGGCTGAAGCCTCAGCAGATGGGTGTAAATCACTGGGAAAAAATGTGAAACGTCTGTTTTCTCCTTTGTGCTTTTCTCCGTTTTCTGGATTTGCTGCAGTGAACATCTATTGCTTTAGGAGCCCCAGATGGAATGATTTTCAAAGGAAAATGCAGAGAATTAGGCGGCCACACTGGGTATAGGGAGAGATTGCAGGGGAGGAGGGAGAGCTGGGCAGGGAGCCAGGAGGAACAGCTGTAAACCCTGACGCCGCCACCGCCACCGAGGTGAGTCGTGGGTGGCAGTTTTCCATCCTGACTGCAAAAGGGGGTCACCTGGGGGGTGGGTGGATTCTTTTAAACATCGTCCCAGTGCCCAAGCCTCCCCCGGGCCTGTCATTGTCTCGGGGTGGGCCCCTCCCCCCACCGGTGACTCCACTGTGCAGCCTGGCCGGGACACGGTGGCCTGGGTTCTTGCTGCTGACCCTACCCTCAGCCTCAACCACTGCGGCCTCCTGTGCACCCTGATCCAGTGACTCATTTTCCACTTTCGGTCCTGACTCTGTCCCTACTTGCAGATTCCAAGTGCCTGGCTCCTCATTCAGCTCAGACCCAGCCAGGCCAGACCCTGGGGCCCACAAGCCCCTTGCCAAGCTCATCCTCGCCTCGTTTGGCCTGTGGGAATGGGGGGTGTGTCCAGACAAAGATACAAAGGATCAGCTTTTAAAACATTTCGTTGGGGCCAAGGATGGTGGCTCACACCTAATCCCAACACTTGGGAGGCCAAGGCAGAACGCTTGAGTCCAGGAGTTCGGGATCAGCCCAGACAACATAGGGACACCCCATCTCTACAATTTGTTTTAATTAACTGGGCATGGTGGCACTCACCTGTAGTTCCAACCAATCCAGAGGCTGAGGTGGGAGGACCACTTGAGCCCAGGAGGTCAAGGTTGCAGTAAGCCATGTTCACACCACTGCACTAGCCTGGGCAAGCCCCTGTATCAAAAAATGTAAAATGAATCCTGTACATTATATTAAGGTGCCCCAAATCGTACTTAGAAGGATTTCATAGTTTTAAATACTTTTGTTATTTAAAAAATTACGTGACTGCAGTATATAAATTGGGTTCTTAATGGGGAAAAAGAATACAAGAAAATAAGAATCTGAAAACAAAGATAAGAGCAAAAAAAAAAAAAAAAACACAACCTTGCAGTCCTAACAAAAAAAAAAAAAAAAAAAAGATGAAGAAAACACAACCAGTAAAACAGAACACAGAACAGCATCAAAAGCTGGTTCCTGGCCAGGCGCGGTGATGCATACCTGTAATCCCAGCACTTTGGGAGGCTGATGTGGAAAGATCGCCTGAGACCAGGAGTTTGAGGCTGCCGTGAGCTATGATCACACCACTGCACTGCAGCCTGCGCAACTCAGTGAGACCCTGACTCTATTTAAAAAATAAAAAAAAAAAGGGCCGGGCGCGGTGGCTCAAGCCTGTAATCCCAGCACTTTGGGAGGCCGAGGCGGGTGGATCACGAGGTCAAGAGATCGAGACCATCCTGGTCAACACGGTGAAACCCCGTCTCTACTAAAAATACAAAACATTAGCTGGGCATGGTGGCGCGTGCCTGTAATCCCAGCTACTCAGGAGGCTGAGGCAGGAGAATTGCCTGAACCCAGGAGGCGGAGGTTGCGGTGAACCGAGATCGCGCCATTGCACTCCAGCCTGGGCAACAAGAGCGAAACTCCGTCTCAAAAAAAAAATAATAATAAAAAAAAAAAAGCCAGTTCCTTCCTTATTTTATTCTTTTCTATTCATTCAGCGAGCACTTATGGGGCTCCTTTGAGCATCAGGCTCTGTGCTAAGAGCTTTTGCCCCCAGGGCCCAGGCCAGGGGACAGGGACAGGTGAGCAGATAAACAGAGCCAGTGGCAGCAGCAGGAGGAACATCGGATGGAGATCTTGGCCAGGGAAGGATATGCAAGGAAGCAGCCTGCACTGCTAGGTCCACCTCCCCCGCCAATGTCAAGTGTCAGCAAGCCAGAAAGGACAGGCAGACCCTTGTCTGGGACCTGGTCAGTGGCCTTGGAAAGGACGGCCGCCACCCAGAGTGCTGGGTGCAGGAGGCGAAGGAGGATAGTGGACCACTGCAACGTGGAGATCTTTAGAGCAAAAGCAAAATAAAGCTAGAACTGGAGGCGGCTGGGGCGGCCAAGGCCGTGTTCAGCACTAAGAGGTGTGAAGCTTGAACGCTGGGAGAGTTCACACTGGCAGAAGAGAGGTTGGGGCTGCTGCAGGCCTCTGGGCATTGCCCAGCAAGACAGAGGGCAGTGGAGAGTGGCCCCAAAGAGAGGCTCCGTTCAGCTGGCAGTGGCTGTGGGAGTGTTGAAGCAGGCAGGCTGTGGGCGTCTGCTGGGGAGGGTTAAGTGGGGTGAGGGCCCAGCAGCCCTTCTTGGGGGGTCCCTGGGAAGCACAGAGGAGATCTGAAGAAGCAGGGAGTCGCAGGGGCCATGCAGGGCGAGAGAGAAGTTGCTCCTGTGGGGCCCAGGCTGCAGGATCCGGAGAACTGGGGCTCCCAGTAGGGAGAAGGGGGTGTGCAAGGATCATGGCCAGAGAAGGGCCCAGGGGCCTGTGCAGGGGGGGAGCCTGATTGGCTTCGAGAAGATGGAGCTAAAGGCACATTCTTGGAGGATGTCCAGGCCACTAGTTGGAATGTGAAGACCTGAAAAGCACAGAGCCTGGAAGCCCAGGATGGACAGAAACCTACCCGAGCAGTGGGGCTTTGAAAGCCTTGGGGCGCACTATTCAAGATAGCCACCAGATGGCAATAGAACGCTGTAAATGTTTTCTGGTTCTGGGCGACAGCCTGGGTGGCTGCTTCCTTGTGTATTGATTTGTGTCTTTTTTGAGACAAGGTCTTGCTGGGTTGCCCAGGCTGGAGTGCAGTGGTGCGATCATAGCTCACTGCAACTTTGAAGTCCCAAGCTCAAGCCATCCTTCAACCTCAGCCTCCTGAATAGTTGGGACCACAGGCTTGCATGATAGTGCCCGACTAATTGTTTATATGTTTTGTTGAGATAGGGTTTCACTGTGTTGCCCAGGCTGGTCTTGAACTCCTGGGCTCAAGGGATCCTCCTGCCTCAGCCTCCCAAACTGCTGGGATTACAGGTGTGAGCCACCATGCCTGGCCTTTTTTTGAGGGGTGGGGGGGAGACAGAGTCTTGCTATGTCGTCAAGGCTGGAGTGCAGTGGCGAGATCTCAGCTCACTGCAACCCCCACCTCCCAGGTTCAAGTGATTTTCCTGCCTCAGCCTCCCGAGTAGCTGGGACTACAGGAGCACGCCACCACGCCAGGATAATTTTTGTATTTTTAGTAGAGACGGGGTTTCACTGTGTTAGCCAGGATGGTCTCCATCTCCTGACCTCATGATCTGCCTACCTCGACCTTCCAAAGTGCTGGGATTACAGGCGTGAGCCACAACACTGGCCTGGGCCTTCTCTTTTTAAGGGTGTATGTGAGTATCTGCTCTCATCTTCAACTTCCTCCCTTACCTTAGCCTTGCTCTGTCCCTACCCAGTCACCTCTGCCCATCTCTCTGATATATTTCTCTCTCCTTTCACCCCTCTTTCCTTCCTCCTCATACACCACTGACCACTATAGAGAACTGAGTAGTCTAAAAATACATTTTATTTATTTATTTATTTTGAGACAGAGTCTGGCTCTGTCGTCCAGGCTGGAGTGCAATGGTGCGATCTCAGCTCACTGCAACATTTACCTCCCAAGTTCAAGCAATTCTCCTGCCTGAGCCTCCCAATATCTGGGAGTACAGGCATGCGCTACCATGCCCAGCCAATTTTTGTATTTTTATTAGAGATGGGGTTTCACCATGTTGGCTAGGTTTGTCTCGAACTCCTGATCCGCCTGCCTTGGTCTCTCAAAGTGCTGGGATTACAGGCGTGAGCCACCACACCTGTCCTTAAAAATACATTATATTTAATAACAAAGCCCCAGTCTTCACTTTAAAAAGCATCTATGTAGAACATTTATGTGGAATGATACAGTGAGTTTGTACGTGGGATAGTTTGCCTCTCCTTCTCGATCAGGGCCAGGGACTCAGGTGAGCTTGGGCTGAGATGTCAGGCCCCACAGTGAGTGGGGGGCAAAGCCAGGCTGGGACCATCCTCTAGGACAGCTCTGTAACTCTGAGACCCTCCAGGCACCTCTCCCTATACATCTGTGCTTCTGAAAAACCTTGTGTAAATCAAATCTTTTTTTTTTTTTTTTTTTTTTTTGAGACAGAGTTTCGCTCTTGTTACCCAGGCTGGAGTGCAATGGCGCGATCTTGGCTCACCGCAACCTCCACCTCCTGGATTCAAGCAATTCTCCTGCCCCAGCCTCCCGAGTAGCTGGGACTACAGGCATGCACCACCATGCCTAGCTAATTTTTGTATTTTTAATAGAGACGGGGTTTCGCTATGTTGACCAAGATGGTCTCCATCTCTTGACCTCGTGATCCACCTGCCTCTGCCTCCCAAAGTGCTGGGATTATAGGCGTGAGCCACCACACCCTGCCCATAAATCAAATCATTTTAAAGGAGCTTGGGTTCATCACTGTTTAAAGGACAGTGTAAATAATTCTGAAGGTGACTCCACCCTGTGATTTGATCTCGTCCTTGGCTGGTTGACTTGACAGGACATAGAAAGGTTTTCCTGTGTTGGTTCCCAAGCTGATCA